AAAACATCTTAAAAGTAAAACAATTTTAACAATCAATAAGACCAGTAATGCCGGCAATATTTCCTTTTTAACTGTACATGTTGTCAATCAAATATCGTTAGAATGTGTGAAGCTTTTCCAACATTCATGATATTGTCATTCTTTTTATCATGAGTCCTGGAAAAGACTAAACTCTAAGTTTAAATCAACTGAAATTTCATCAACTGAGTCGAGTCTGTATATTTAATTTTATGAAAGTTTAATATTAAACATTTTTAATAGCAATTAAAAAAACAGAAAAGTTAAAAAAGCTTTGTAAATTTTGATTGATACTTATACTAGTATGGCAAAATATCGACAATTAAATACTTTGATTGTGATAGCATGCTAATTGCATGTTTTCAATAAATGTCCTTCTAATTCTAATTTAATACAAAAAGAATGAGCAAAGAAATTTTAAAAGACTTATCTACACCATTTCTGTTAATAGGTTGATGGTGAGAAAGAAAAGGCCTTTTTAATAAGAGTATTTTCTAAAAAAAAAAAAAAAAAAAAAAAAAAAAAAAAAAAAAAAAAAAAAAAAAAAAAGAAAGAAAATCTTATAACCAAAACAATAATTAATCCTGTCAACGTACTAAAGTAATCTAGAAGAAATTTAAAGAAGTATTGTACTATTAAATATAATAGATATAGAAATATGGAATCAGAGTAGAACGCAATCAACATTCTAATTAGTTCCCGGCTGCAATTCATATCAATTAAAATTTTCAAATATTGCGTCATTGTTACAGAGAGAGAGAGAGAGAGAGAGAGAGAGAGAGAGAGAGAGAGAGATCAGAATTTTTAAAGACTTTTACGAACCCTGAAATACAGTGAAATAATTTATGCAAAGAATATAAAAACTAAAACGTTTCCTTTTTCTTTAGTGGTGATAAAGATAGATAAGAAAGGAAGAAAGAACGCGGAAAAGAATTAATCTAGAGTAGCTCATCAAAGAGACAAATACTGAATAGCGCCGATCAAGGACATTGTTAGAGTGTTTTTTATTCTTTGAACATTGTAGACGTTGAAGCCATAATTTTCATTTTGAACAAAGAGCGCAGGACCTTAGTCAGGTATCCCGAATAGAAATTACAATGAGATTTCTCAACCCTTTTCTTCTTTGCAATGACTTTTTAAGGTTACTCAAATACACTAATTCTTCTACTCCTAATTCCTTTTAAAGATTCTTTGTAGCTAATCTTTGTCCTTGGGTTGGGTTTCTATTTTGATGTAAAATCAATTTCTGAAAATTTATGCAAGAAAATTTGTTTCTAGAGAACTTAAAATATCTATTCCAATATATTAACTCCAACTACTTTATCTTATGAAACTCTGTTTAATCAAGAAAATGATATTAAAGGTTTTGTATATATATAAATATTCAGAATTCTAAAATGACAAAAAATAATATGAAGTAATATCTAAGCATATCTAATTCCGTTCTAATTTATCATCGGTTATCCACCTGTTTTTTCTTCTTATGAAATTTATTTATTTATTTTTTTTTTTTTGCAAAATATATTATCCAACAATAAAGCAAATTAAAATGTCCATACTATTTAGCCTGAATAGAAATTCTGATAACCCTTACGATAGAAAGAAATGGCAATAGTGCAAATTAAGACGAACTTGCAACTTCATATTGTCGTGCTGAACATATTGTCGTCATCGACAATATGCACTTATCCTCACTATATATAGTGTCGTCCATCTTCACATATTGTAGCCGTCTGAAAAATTATACATGTTGCCGCTGTTGACATTATGTGCCTACCCTCATTGTAAATTGTTTTAGTTAAGATTGCTTAAGATCTTTTTTGTAATTCTATGATTGTAATGATGTTTAATCATGCAGACGCGTCTGGTAGGCTGTTTCATGCAGCGCAATTGTGACGGGAAATATTGTCGTCGTGTACGGCGACAATGTCTTCTTGCATTAGTAAATTAGTTAAATTAGTTAAACTGCACATTTTGTCGTCCATTGGTATTTGCAAGCTGCATGTCGCAGGTACTTACATGTTGCAAGCTGCAGAATTATACATGTACATATTGTCACTGGCGATAGTATGTGCCTATATACCATCAATGCACATGCTGTCGCTCCACTATTACGCGTAAAGTTACAGTAATAAGGATGATGATATTGAAAATTATACATTAAATTTTCACGAGATCGCTTATTTGTCATTTTTTAACTCCAGAGAAGCAGATGCAGTGAATGCGATATCTCATATACAAAAGCATGTGTCCAAGTAATACTGTTAAGAGGAGAATATGTTGCAAATGATATGTTTATATAATTAAAGAGACCAGGAATCTCTCTCCCCCCCCCCTCTCTCTCTCTCTCTCTGAAACTCTAATGAAATATCCGCTGTCTATTAAAAAATTTTTCACCCCAACCCCAGTAATATCTATACATGTATAAGAATCGCACCAAAATTTAATTCAGATAATCGTTACTACTGAACACAATTAACATTCAGTCTCCAATATATATACGAGTACTTCTACCGGGATAAAAAGAATATGCTAATTTATCAGATAAATCTTGGCATATTATACTGGAGTACACAGGTCCTGTATATAATTTTCCGACCAAAAAGTTTTCTATAGACATTGTTCCTTGATTACTTATCTATCTGCCATAGGCTCTGTCTGACTGTTTATCAGTCTGTCTGTCTGTCTCTGTAGTGCATATGTCAGTTTCTTTCTCTTTAAGACCCTAGCGAATTCTTCAAATTGATATTTTAGCGACAAAATGTGCAAATGTTCACAGTACGTACTGTCGCTGATGACAATATATGTCGATTTGTGACTGTGCATTTTATCGTCCATTTTGCAGGAGGAAAAAAGGCTCATCTCGGCACATGTTGTCGCCAGCGACAATATATACCGATGGACGATATGTGCAGTAAGGGTAGTACATATTGTTTCTGGCTAAACAATGTACAGAACGACAATATACTAGTATATCGTTACAAGATTCAAATTACTTTTAAAAGTAATTATATAGTTATAAACTCAATTGTTTTGCTTCAAATTTTATAAAAGGAAAGAAACAAAAACAAAGTACATTTTTAAAGACAAATTTTCAAAAAGAAGAGTTACAATGATCATAAAACTCAATCTGTAATTTATAGTCAATTATATAGTCAATAAATAAAGTATTAATATGAAAAAAATATTTCAATTTAAGGCTTAAGCAAATTGCGTCTTCGTGCAGTGGATGTGCAAAATCGTCCTACCTGATACACGTTTTATGCAAACACTGATTATGATATATACAACCAGTGTCCTTTTCACCTCAGTCATGGTGTATCTGGAGAGGAATTAAACTGATCTGCGAATAATTAAACAGTTAGATAGACCTTTATGAATATGGAGAAATTTTGCTTGTCATTCAAACTCATCGTACACACTGCGAAGAAAGAGGCCGGTTATCAGTGCTGAATTCAGAAAAAGGCGGGACATTTAAGTCTATTACAACGATGTTATTTAGTCATGATTTGTAGTGTATAGATTACATGTAGAGTGAAAAATCAACAAACACATGATGTAAAATTAATGTGAATAAAACATTTATATTAGTTATAGTGTGATGTATTTTGAAATTGTTTTGAGATTTAGCAGATGTTTGAAGATGAAGTAAATATAATAAGATAAGAATATGTTAATAGATAATAGAAGCACTATCACGTTAAAGTATTTAAAAGACGATAAATCAAAATATTTATTATACCTCTACTGTTAGTACTTTATAAAATATGAATACCGTAAAACTGTCTATTTCCCTAAGAATGAGCTAATCCCCCAATCTGAGGACTACTCCTGGAAAAATCACAGAGATACAAACTGGAACAACTCCCTCATTGATATTCATCATTGTTAAAGCAATTAAAATCATCAAGCTCAGTGGGCAGAGCGTCCAAAAAATCTCGAGTATGTGACGTAATACTAATAGCAAAGTATCCATGATGTCAAAACATTTCGTCATGCAAGTCGGATACATACTGGAACACAGTATCTGGTTTAATAAAAAGATAAAAAGAGTATATACTTTTTTAAGATTGCTTTTACAAATGAATATCTGATTAGCACTAGAATGTTAAAATATCAGAAAGATGTTTTATAACGTAGGCCAATGGATGTCATAGTCACACTTCAAATTAAAAAAAATGCTTGATATTCTTTTATTTTTATGAGGCAATTTTATAATTACCAGAAAAAACGCCTGTCTATCACCTCGGTATCTTTATCATCTGCATATGGAATTAACATCTCCCAATTGAGTCGATATGCAAGAGCATGCTCTACTGACGAACAATTTTAAAAACGATGCAAGCCATTGACAAATAAGTTAATGAAACAAGAATATCAACAATATCATTTAAAGTCAACATTTCGCAAATACAATGACCTTGTCAGCAGATACAATCTATCATCAAGTCAAACGTTGACTGAAGTTTTTCATACAAATTGTTAAGCCATTATTTTCACACTGAATTGTCCACGGATTTTTCCCTTTTGCCCGATCATGACAAGGAGCGCTCGACGGATGTGACGGTCGACAGGAGGTGTTTACTCCTCCATGGCACTTGATCCCACCTCTGATGTTTGTTGAGGTCCTTGTTTGCTCTGCTCTAAATTTATATTGTTTCAATAGACTATCGAGCTTGATTTCTGTTTTTCAACTACATATTACTTTCAATAACTTTTATTTAGATATATATTACCATAATAAAATGAACACTAATTAAACAAGGAATAATAAAAATTTTGCTGTTTCAGCTGAAAAAGTGTCGAAGCATTTTATTTCTTAACTTTGATTTAAATGTATGCACGCATTTAAAGCTTATACTTTCAATCAAGCCTATATGGAAAAAAATATTCGTGTCAAGAAGATTTGTGATGGATACAGATGATAATAAACAGGGCTTCTGAATACTGTGAAATCATTAATTTTGTGGGGGTTAAATTTTCGTTGTTTTCGTGGTCTGAAGAGACCCACGAATACATGACCACCACGAAGTGTAAATTTTGGAATAAATAATAAAAAACCTCAATAACCACAAAATCAAATCCCCATGAACCAATACTTTTTCTTCAAACCACGAAAATTTTACCCCACGAAAATAGGTGATTTTACAGTAGGTATATATTTATCATTAGTCTGACGTTTGTTTTCTACACAATGAAAGCATACACTTTCACCACACTTTATTTCTAAAAAAAAAAATTATGTGTAGACACTAGTAAATCTTAAATAACAAGGTAGAGGAATTCTTTCCTTATAAAAATAATTGAATTCTCAAAATTAGCTAATAGAAAGGGTTATATAATCCTAATATCTACTAGTTTTGTTTTTTGAACTTTAAGAATTAGTTAGGATGAGCTTCTTACTATATCAAACAATGGCTGTATCAAGGCATCATCTCCAAATTTATATATATATATATATATATATATATATATATATATATATATATATATATATATATATATATATATATATATATATATATATATATATATATATATATATATATATAATGGAATTTTGCTGATTGAAAATTAAGTAAGTTTGTAAAAGTGTGTCAAGGACGACTGTTAATGCGCTTTTAGATAATTTAAGAGTTTCGTGATGCCAACACAAGGCATAATAGTTAAAATCATAGACTGGTTTGTTAAACATTGCATGAAAACAAAGAACGGTACATAATTGTCGATAAATCAGAATTCAAGTAAGCTTTTCAATCCTTTGGCCTTCCAATAGTAATAATAGAATTTCTTGTTATCGAAATATTTTCAAATGACAGTTTTACATTAAAATAGAATAAGCTCCGTTTCTTTGCAATGTCACAATGTTCTATTCAATGCTACAACTTTGAATACATTCGGCTGTGACTACTAAATTGTAACAAGTTCCATTTTCTGTAAATTTAATGTTGAGTGTTTGATCCCGATTTTTCTCTATTCTCATTGTAGCTATCGTAGTTTAACAGAAATGTTCCTGAGAAGAATAATTGCCATGAGAGTAATTAAAATCCATGCATGCTACCTTGTAATTAAAATGGTTCAGATAAAAGATCGTCGTTAATACTACGTTTCAAAACTAGGACTAGATACTTTTTTGATATTTTTTGTCATTTTAATTGTGATTTTTAAAATAATTAATAGTTGTTGTAATATATAGTGACACATTTTCATCACCTATTCCTCTCAAATACATAAAAAACAAAGATACGTACCGGTAGGTAAATATAAATTTGTATTACACTAATCTAAATAGATTTTTTCAATGGCTTCAGGTAAGGTAAAAACACTTTATCGCTAGATTTAGTAGTCCTTGGTACGAACAATTACACAAAATTTTTAACCCAAAGCACTTAGGACCCTGACTTTATGAAGGAAACATGCATGTCAATAAGTTTACATCAATACACAATTAATTTTGGTCCTGTCATATTTTTTCAAGGCAAAGAATCTTTGACATTTGTAAAATGAAACTTTGAATACATTAATGCCCCCAAGAGATTCATGGACGAGAAAAAACAGCGGATGTTAAATCTACTTTACAAATTCTTCATCTACCAGAAACTTAATTATCAAATGGAAAACCAAAAACAAACATACAAATAAATGATATAAAACAAAACAATTCTTCTCGGTTAAACATAAAATTTTTCAATATATTAATGGCAAGAACCATTAAACTTTTATTTGTCTCTCTTTTGACAAATAATTCAACAATTCAATATCTTTCGATTAATATAGATTTAACAAATTACAGAGGTAATGCGTTGGTGACACTCCAGTCGACTTTTTTTTCTATAGATTTTAAACATCCAAGTTTTACTTCAGTTTCTCCTTGTACTAATTGTGCTCCATTATTACCAGATCTTTTTTATTCTGATGGAGTATTGAATTTATTCAGAAGCTTCTACATGAAAAGAAGTCTCTTGCAGTGGCCTTCCATTCGACATTTAGATATATCGATGGCATAATATCAATTAACATTATTTATTTACAGTCATGTTTCTTCCATTTAAAGCAAGCCCGTAAAATGCGGGCCCCACTTTTCTCTGAGTATGTAGTCTTAATATATTAATTTTCATTTAGTTGCTTTTTGCCGCCCCCTCCCCCCCCCCCCTCCTCCCCACACACACACTTTTTGTGGCTGTAAGGTCGAAAATGGACAAAATCAAGAATTTGAGAGAAAGAAAATGTACCAGAAAGATAAAGTAAACCCCCCATTGAAATAGGATTTTCGAGTTTGGAGAATTAAAGTTGTTTTTTTTTTTGATCATTTTTTTTGGGGGGGGGAGTGGTTGCCTGCCCCCTCCTACCCAATCACACTTTAAACCCATTGCTACGGACCTGTGAAGTTATGTTGTGTTTGACTGCTTTACCAAATGACAGAATCTTAAGTTGTGCTAAAGTTTTGTATTCAGACAAACATAGTGTATGCAATGTAAATACGATTTTCTTCTATTAGTTTGATCAGCACATTTTTTTTTCCTGGGATCATATCCTTCCTTTGGCCTTTTCTTAAAATCTTGTCATAAAATAAAATTTTACAGATATTCTCCCTTTGTATGGAAACTGTATAGAACAGCAAGGGATAGTGTTAACCTTCTGTAAATATAACATCATACTGAATCATGACAATGTAAACTTAAGCTGATGCAGAAAAATATAATGCAAGTTTGAATAACAAAGAGAAACTGTTTATATATTTTGTCAGGTAAAAAAAGAAAAAGTATGCCTCATTTCTTCCTTTTATTGACATGAGTAAACAATGTTACATAAACACCGAGTAAAACTTTTAGTTACAAATTTTGTGTACCTTTAGCCAAGAGACAGATGACACACACTAGATGAAAACATATTGAAGATTCATTATGAAATACACTGCGTCAGAAATAAATTGAATAAACATGAGTAGGGAGCGTGCGTTTTACTAATCGTGTTGTTGATAACACATCTAAGAAGATTTACAACGTAAAAAGGGTGAGAAATATGGCACTTCCTTTGTGGGACACTTCATAATTATAGTTGGGTAAGCTGTCATTAGATTTTGTATAAATCTATTGGACTCCAATATATTTTCCGATTAAATGTGATGTGCTATATCATGTCCATACCTACAACAGAAAATTATTTTATGTTATGTATTTAAGACTATTTTTTTAGGTTAATTTCGGTGATTGGGCTAAAAAAGGTCAAAATTTTCGATTATGAATTTCAATTGAAGATAATGCTAGGATTTTTAACCTTCATTGCTGGTGAAAAAGTTTAAAACATGATGCCTTTTGTAAGTGTTGTAAATTTTTGAATTTCATAATTTTATTTTCTTTAAGGGGAATTTTGAACCATAGAGAAAAAGTAAAAAATCAAATCCATTTACTTGAAATCTCGCGATCTTTCCCATGCTTTCTTCCAACTGTGCTTGGTAGGTTTTTCTGTCGTAGATTGAAGACAATACAATTTATTAATCACATCATATACAAAGCAATTTACTGGTTCAAAAAGTCTTTCTTTCGCTGTATTTCAAGCTTAAGTCAATAGGAAAAATATATTGCCCACTGAACCTAAGCGATTTTGCCAAAACAATAACTCACTTTTCACTATTCTGACATTTTCCTTGTGGTCAAATGGAGGCCATCGACTTACTTTTCTGAAAAGAGAAAAAGTAGAAATTACAGTAAAGCTTTCGGTTCACTCCTAATGAAAAAAAGCTGTTACGTATAATCTTTAGTCCGTTGTCCAGATCCAACTCACACAAGGAAATTTATGAATTTTGAATATCACGTTAATTTTTGATATTTAATATCAATTTATCGTCTGCAGAAACACAACTTGACACGGATATACGAGATTAATAATAAAAGAATTTTAAGGTTTCTTAAAATATTTCATGTATATTGATAACGTATCACATGTGTCACAGTTACGAGAGTTATCGCTCTTGCAATATCCGCTGGCATAAATTAAATAGTCTTCATATCTAGACATTTAAGTGAATGTCACAAGGCGCAAACAATGGAATCGTTTCGCGGGGAATATTGTGGATGTGTCTCTTTAGAGGTAGCATAGGTCCTCACTTTCTTTCAGGACGCCGGCGACTTAAGGACCCTCTTTACACTAAATGAAAAGATTTTTTGGACACTGGGAGAATTATAGTGTGTAAAAGTGAAAATATTGAGCTTATCTATTACTTTTCCAACAAAGGGTACCTTGCATTTACCCCCAGGAAAAAGTCCAAAGACAATGAAATACTAATGAACGAAATCACTGTTGTTTACTTAAGTGGGCAAAATACCTGCCAATGAAGTGCTTAATCTATTCATCTTGCTTATTACAATGTTATGTATATGTGATTTGATCACAAATTAAGTGACAAACTGTACATTTCTATTTATTTTATTCTAGATCAAAGGGCAGATTACTCTATCTGCAAAAAAATAACACAAATAAAAATATCTTGTGCGCAGTGCAGGGCTCTCAACACATTGATTTTGTAATCACTTACTTCATTAATTGGATAATTAATGGAATTATTGGTTAATTTTTATTTGAAATATTAATGGGGTAAGTAATCAGATATTCATATTGTATACAAATTTTAATAGGATTATTATTACAAAAAAATTAAAGTGATCTACGTCATTATACGCATTCTAAAATGGGGTTTATTAAGTGTTTGTATTAATGTTTGTATGATGGAGGGCTCAGGTGGTTGAAGGACGTTCAATAACAGTAATGGAGGAAACTCATACTATATGAATATGCATACATATGGAGAAATGATGTTCATTCTTCTCATTTACATATCGGCCATATTGGAGCTATAATGGCGACAGATTCCATAAAGGTTTATATAGAGAACGAACAAAAACCCGCAGATCTTTATATACTTACTATTTCGGATAAAGTTCTTCCGCCGATGTTTAGATTTTTTCTTAATATCTTCTTCCGGAATGACAATATTGTTGATGCCAAAGTGAAAGTTGCGACCGCCTTTTTGATTTGAAATTCCGAAGCGAGAGTATAACGTTTTAATGAAGGAAAGAGCACAGAATTGGTGCCTTTATCATTTTTTGGTGATTAAATGTAAGTGTTTATTGCAAGTTGACAGAGTTCTTCTGCCGATTAATGAACATTTTCGGAATCTCAGACACCCGACAGCTGACTTCGGATAGCGGACTTTTCACGTAAGGGAACGTGTCAAAAAGTGAATAATATTAATATATCTGTAGTCTTGATTCATTGTACTCGATAATCACATTTAGTCTTATTTGTATGATTTACAATACTCTATACTGTACAAGTTTATACATGCACGTGGTATTGAAGGGGGGGGGGGTCCTCCCCAACTTTTCCTAAAATAATGATTTGCTCCCTTTCCCGAGAGATTGTTTTATTGTTTAATTCCAGTGGTACCCTTTTCCCAACAACAAATGGAAAACAGGGATCTTCAAGAACTAATAAAATATAAAGGACTTGCATCTTTATATAGATACATGTACCTTAAAGAGCGCATAATCTTTCATTAAGAAACAATCTGTCAAAGTAAGATATGGCGTCACTCTAAAAAATATATAATAAATTTTGTTTAAGGAAATGTTTGTGGACATATACCATTTAATTTAAAGGAAAAAGTACCTTCTCGGGAAATAAATGATAATTTTAAACAATCAATAACATATTATCAGTGTCTTGAACGTGAATAACATATCTCATACAACTTATTTCGTACCCCACAAATGAGGCGCGGACCCAGATATTTTAGGGGGGGGGGGAGAAACCAAAGAAACGAAGAGCACTGGGCTTTGAAATATAACTACCGATTTTAAAACTTCAAAATGTTTAAAAATTCACAGTCATATTCCCCCTAAAAAAATAAAAACTGAACAATTACATTCTCGTTTGAATAGCCAGGCAAAGTGTGATGCATAGCATAGTCAGGATATCTGGGATCTGAGGCCACCTTGAGGTTTCCACTGGGTACAGGGAAAATTTGAAGCCTTGCTGGGGGTCCAGGAAGCTTCTTGATTCTGGTATTTTGAAAGACGGAATTTTTAATACAAACCTATAAATTTTATTGCATCGATGTATTTTAATAAAGAATTTGTATTTACATCATGGTCATGATAAAATACAACTTGAATTTGAATTATCTAGGTAATTACATGAACACTATGAATTCCACATAAATGCACGTATACAGGAATTCAAACCAAGAAATGGCGTAATTAATATGCTAAACATCATACAAAATTTTGCACCTATATGTGTTATCTTTAATCATGGGAATCTTTCATAATTGTTTCCTTTCATTAAATTTTGAGTTCTTAAAATCACTCAAGAAAGTCAGCTTAGCAATGTACTTTTGGATTTTTCAAATCAAAATTTGCAAGTTTTAACTTCTCGTTGTGACTTTTTTTCAAAATTATTTTTTTTTCATATCCGATTTATTGTTTAAGAAAAGAACATATAGTTTCTATATTATCTTAACCGAGTTGATGTGTATAGAGTGTTGAAATAAAAAAAAAATTAGTTAATTTCCTATTTCGGTGCAGTCGAGAGAAATCGAAAATTTTGAACTACTTCAATAACTTCATTATGCCGAAGAAGATATAACAAATATTAACACAAAGTTATATTATTGTCTGTAACATGTTAAAATTCCAATAACATGTATACAGTCACAACTCTCTCTTTTTACCTCCTCTAACATTTTTAGCAATCCTCTTTTTTTTTTTATTTCTTCCAAAATCAAAGGAAGGGGTTGCATTCCCCCTAACCCCTCTGAATGATGTAAAGAACACATATTTAATTATCATGAACAATTAATGTAGTACACGTAATTAATAGTTTCTAAAATGTGCCAAGATTGAAATATTTTTAATCTCTACCAATCTATACATTTCTAACCTATTTAATTGTTTTAAATTTATTCGTTTTAATATATGTCAGAGATAATGAGAGAAAATTCTCAGTTAAACGTTAAAACGTAATTCTATACGGTCCCCTTAAGTTGTCTTTTGTTTGCAGTCCGCTGTCCGTAGTGCGATGTCAGGTGTCTGACATTCCGAAAATGTTCAATAGGTGCAGACGAATGCCTATTTTTATAAAATACAGATGACTTATCATTTCATGAAGAGTTACGACCGCCTTTTTAATTTGAAAAAGGCAATTTCTTCCATCAGTGTCACCTACTTATTACCAAAAAAGATGGTTTCATGAGTTGTCAACTGTTAATAACCCAAAATTCAATATTAATGAGAAGTAAATCACATGGGAGGAACCTCATGAATAAACTGTACATCATTTCTCCATATTTTGTATTGTTTGACGGACTTTTGAGCCTGAATACTGTTCGTTATCTTCATATATTTCATGAGAAATATGCTATACCGAGAATCTGGGGGATTTGAAAATTATCAATTATGGATAAAATGATTTAAAGTGACAAGTGGTGAGAATATGAATAAAAGTATACATTCTCTTATGTAAACAATAATTATAAAACTGTGTTCAAGCATGTTTTGAAAATAAGTATCCATAAATATCCTTCAACATATAATTCATCTCTTTTGTACATTGTACATCACATACACAAAATTGAACTTAAAGCATATCCAAAAGACGTAATCATGAATGCTGCGAAACTGCATAGATTTTAGATATATATGGTAAATAATTCCCTTGTCAAGACTTGAACTATCCCTTCATTAATTTTACAGGTACTTACTGAGCATTTGGCTTGTAAGAGCCATTCTTACAAGGAAAGCTTCCAAACCGAACAAACAGATAACCCCAGAATATTACAAGACCGGCAAATAGAACACTCGCTACTGTCACCCAGGCAATGTTCCGAGAGTCCTCTAGGAAAGTCACGTGACGATCAGTAGTGGTTGTAGGTGCAGCCGTGGTGGATTCAGGGATAACAATAGTCACAGGGGCGGTGTCTGTCAAATGAAATCATCCCCCCAAAAAGATATAATACACTTAAAAGAATTCATTTCTTATGTAAGAAAGTTCTCTTGATTCAATAACTATTATTTGTACTAAATTAAATGTGCCAAAATTTGCATTTACATGTCGTGATTTTTGATTGAACTCTCTCCCAACTGCACTCGGATTACTCATGATATTTTTTTTTTTTATAATTTTCATAGCATTTGCATAAAAAATGATAAAAATATGAGAATGAATGTCACCTGCCTTTAAGTCCCCCCGAGTCCTGTGCAGTAGCCGTCAGTGTGACAGTTGTTCCGGAGGAGAAAGAAGTCAGACCATTCTTCACGTAGAAGTCCCCGTTACTTTGTACACCGAAGTACTCATACCCTAAACTAGTCTGATCCAATGTGTAAGACACAGTGCCTTAGAAAACAAGAGTTATAACTGATGAAACTTTGCAATTAATAAGGGTTTTTGTCAATTTCATAATAAAAAAATTAAGAGATGTAACGCGTACAAGGTGTCTTACTGATCTACTCACCCTGCATTACATGATCAATTTTAGCATTAAAAGTCTTTTAAGGTTTTAAGATAGCGCTCTGCTTAAAAAAACAAAGTATGCATGTAGTTTATACAAAGTGATTGACTAAGGAATGTGAAGCACAACTATTTTCGTAAAACCCAAGTGGAAATGACCATGTTCTGTGCCTTTAGCTTCACTTGTTATATAATAGTGCGTTAAGAATAATGATAACTAACCGAATGATCCCACATCGCCATCAGTGGCTGCTATAGATCCAAGAACTGTTCCAACCCCTGTACTAGGTTGAGCGTAAAAAGTGTAGGTGGAGCTTCCGAAAGCGGGCGTGTTATCATTGACGTCATTGATTGTAACAACCAATGAAGCTGTATCTGACAGATCTCCGTCTGTAACAGTGACAGTGCACGTAACAGAAGAGGCCGTACCTGCTTTATCCAAATCGTAGTCATGACTGGAATGAGTAAGAAAAATAATCAAAATTATTGTTAAGAAAAATTATTTGAAATTAACTTGAACATTAATATTCAGAATGATTACACGGTGTTGAAACACGCGCTGTCTTACCTAAACGTTATTACTCCAGTGTTTGAATTAATAACAAACGTTGGACAATCAATTGAGTAAAACAAACTTTCCCCAGTGTCGGGATCAGTGACGTCAAACGAAGGATTTCCCACGGTGGATCCTGCCTACAAAGCGTACCATATTTTCCCTTTAATGGTATCTGAACGTTGTAATATACAATTTTTCAAACGAAGAGTGATATTCTACCCTTAAAGGATTCTTAAAATAGTAGAGATATCTTCGCAGACATAGGATGACAGTTTACTCCTCTACTCCACACAAGAGGAGAGGAGAGGTTCGTCATTTTTGGATGGGATGATGAATAGAAATTGATCAAAATATTGCATTACATAGGATTATCCTTTTATTGATGTAAATCATATACGGTATCAATTTTGATGCACCAGATGCGCATTTCGACAAATTATGTCTCTTCAGTGATGCTCAAGCCGAAAGGTTGGGAATCCAAAATATTTAAATAAAAAGAATTGGAAGAGCTGAAAAAAGTGCCAAAGAGTGGAGCCAAATACGTCAAAGGATCAGAGCTATGCATGAGGGAGATAATCCTTACTTTTGAAATAAATTTCTAAATATTACCACAGCGATTAAATATATATCCGTATTTTCAAGCTAGTACCGAAGTACTAGGTTACTAGGCTGTAGAGACCCTCGGGGCTAACAGTCCACCAGCAGAGGCCTCGACCCAGGAGTCATAATGTAAATCATATACGGTATCAATTTTGATGCACCAGATGCGCATTTCGACAAATTATGTCTCTTCAGTGATGCTCAAGCCGAAAGGTTGGGAATCCAAAATATTTAAATAAAAAGAATTGGAAGAGCTGAAAAAAGTGCCAAAGAGTGGAGTCAAATACGTCAAAGGATCAGAGCTATGCATGAGGGAGATAATCCTTAATTTTGAAATAAATTTCTAAATATTACCATATTGACCTTTACAATTAAGCACAATTTTAGTAAGTATTAGGTCAGAATAGGCAATTTTGTTTACATGCAGTCAAAGAGTCTGCAGTTGCTCTAAATGATAAATGGATTTTAAATATAACATAGTAAATTACCGCTCCTTCGTTGCCAGAAATGGCGTAAGAAGCTTTCCCGAACACAGGAGCTTCGTTTTGGTCAGTGATGACGATGCTGAGCGTATCTGTGGCGGTAGCCTGTCCGTCGGTAGCAGTGATGGTGATGACGTAAGTCGTGGCAGTGGTTGACACAGACTCAAAGTTAATGTTTTGTGTAGATGAGGTGGATATAAGACCAGCTTCAAAAGAAGTACAAGCGTCAGAGATGTGCATTGTTAAGAACTACATATACATTACAGAATATCAAAATACCCCTTACGGTGTTAACTTTATGATAGTGAATGCAAGACCGTCGTAATAGTAATTTTACAGTGACTATCTTTTCAAACCTGAAAGAATCCTTCCGTGTATAAACATACTTACTGGCTGTGTTGAGTGAGAAAAGTGTGGATCCTAGACTGGGAGTATAAGAAGCAGCGTAAGTGTGGGTGTCAGCCGAGTTCACGTCAGATACTGATACCTGGAACACGGACATGGAGAGAGCAGAGTTCTCTGGCACAGTGAGAGGTGCGGCCAGGGGTAAGTTAGTGATCACGGGGGCTGTGTTTATACCTGTCAAATATATGTCCAGGTAGAAAGATAACCATAATATCTTTAAACCAGAAAAACAAAAGCAGTCAATGTCAATGATAAGTTTCGTACATGTGAACTTTTTCCAAAGCATTTGCATTGAAATATAGTTTCAAGTTTAATAGGAAGAGTAAAGTATATTAATATTTTACTCTACTTAAACTGTCGGGACATAACAGTTCATAATTTAACGACCAACGATAATTTGACAATAAACATTGATGGCTCAACATTAATGGCTCACCAGAGATGATCACAGTGAGTGTTCGTGGTCCTACCAGAGTTTTTCCATCAGTGACATACACGTATAAATCATAACCTGGTACAGTATGCTGGGATAAATCCGAAGTAGATAGAATTTCTCCTGCTGTAAAATGAATTTAAAAAAGTAAAAAACTGACAAAATATGTTTTGTTTTGTTTGTTTGTTTACAAGTTTTTTTTTTTTTTTTTTTTTTTTCTAAAACATGTTTTCTAGAAGTCACAAAGATCATTTGATTGGTTGCTTAGAGGTCATTCAATTTATTTTACAGCTATATACAGTCACAGTATACACTCGCAGAGATCATTTGACGGAAAAATGTTCTGTCATCCTTCAAACTCATTTTGATTAAATGAACTGAGAATCAAAGCTGAAGAAAAATTGATATTGACCTGTATTTCTGTTCCTTAATTTGAAGCAAAACTTATACAAAGACTACATGAAAGTAAGAAAACTGACATTTAGCTTTCGATTCGACATTTAGATAATTTATATCGAGAACATAATATAAATTAATCATAGGTACTTTCATTTATATGTCGTCTCGATATATCCCAAGGAAATCGAAACAAAAGACAAAACTGGGCCTCTCACATCTGTTTCAAAATCGGATATTTCATCAACTGGATTAATTGACTGATTGTATGATGTTTTACGTCCCGTTCGAGAATTTTTTACTCATATAGAGACGTCATCATACACCGGTGAAGGGCTTCAAATTTAGACTTTACTCGGCACTCAGGGTCATTGAACAGTGAGGGATCTTTATGGTGCCAACGCCTACCTTGACAAGGGACCTCGGTTTTTAAGTTACTTTTTAAAAATCAAGTTAAGATATATTCATATTAGTGTCATTTTTTTAAAATCCAAAACGCCCTTAATAAAACTTACAGTTATGGATTGTGAATGGACAAGCTGCAGGAGCACACGTCATGTTATAATAGAGCTGGTTGGAATCTGAATCAGTTGACGTCACTGTGTATATTACAGAACCCGTAGTGGTAGTGGATGCAGCAATAGTCTTCGTGGCTGGAATAGTTCAGTTATCAATTGTTAAAATAGTCGATCACATGGCACACTATTTTCCTTATTAGATATGGCGTCATTGCAAAAGAAACGCTATCAAACTAAACGTTTCTCATGCCGTATTAGCCATACGCTATAGAGCATGTATATATGAACGTCTTTAGTTATGTTTATGATGTATACTAGTAGTTTGAATTCTAGAGTAGGTGGAGACGAAATGTATATTTTATATATTACCTTGGAGATTGGTAAACGCCGGCGGGTTGTTTCTTGTGACGTAAACAGTAAATGTTCCCTGAGCTGTGTCTTTTGTGTCCGTACAGGAAATAGTCAGTATATATTGACGTGCTGTATCATACGATAGCGACGGTTGGGCTTTGATATAAATACCATAGTTTGCTGCAAAATAATAGATGTCTTGTTTTATATGAAAAACAGACTGCCTTATATTATGATTGATAGAGGCTGTTCCGAAGCAGACTTAGAAAGTAGTCTGATGTAAAAGTCTGGGACTGCTTTCTGTCAGGTTTTTTCTGTATGGTACTGCATATACATATATGGTGGCAAATATTTTTAGACTGAAAATGTTACTGAGTTTTTTTTTTATAGGTTACGGTGTACAACAGAGTCTTTAATACTGAAACAAACAAAGTTAACCAACTACTTTTTTATTCTTACTGGAACCAGAAACTATCCTGGAGAAGAAATTGGTTGTGGTGGGGTTAGAACTGGCGATACTACACGTTACAGAATCTCCAAGGGAATCGTCTGTGACAGTAAGAGTGTATAGAAGCTGCTCGTTAGCATGGTCTTCTGTAATGTCCGCTGTAGCCGGTAAGTTGGTTATCACAGGTACCTGTAAAACTCAGTGTTACTGTAAGCTATCATTACATTGTTATCAAATCGTCATCTTTGTTGCTTTATTTTCATGTAATTCGTGGAAAAAAATTCTCCCCTACATTTGCAGTTAAGAATAACTGTGATCTTAATTGTGCTTTTACATGTTATCTTGTTAATTGTTTATACATGTAAGCTTATCTATATATAGATTTACTATTCATACACTGTTTGTGACAGATATCGTTAATGTTCCTGTGTCCGTTCTTCCACAGTCATCCGTTACTCTGAATGACAGAGGGTTGTTTCCATATGGCAGTGCTCCAGTATTTTTGACCTCTCCTGTGATATAAAGAAATATGTGTAATAACCATAGGATGTCACATGAATAGGAATTTTGATTAAATATGAGTTAAGGATATCCAATCCTCAGCCAGGAAAGTTAACTCTTAGATTTATTATTTTATTTAAAAAGTCTCAAAATGAAGCTTGAAACTGAGATCTTTTCGTGCAACAATTTTCATTTTATGCATCTTAATATGATTCAAGGTTCTTTGAAGTCCTAAAACCGGTCTTGTAAAAAGTTGACATTTGTACATATGTACCCCATAAAAGAAAAAAATGAATTCATTTTTAGAGAAATTGAATTTCCTTTAATCTAGCATTAGATACGACTGCTTATTAGCATGATATGAAATTAGATGTGATATGTGATGTCTAGCAATGATAGCACAAGCTTTATACACTTTGTATTATATGACAATTGAAGTAAAAAGTGGAACTAAAATACTGTATAAGCATAAAAAAGATACAATTTTCTCCAAATGCCTGGATACCTATATTTTTCTGTCCTAAATTATATTTGATCAATTTTCAATTCCAAAATGCATAGCTGGTGTTTTTATTCGCATTTCTTGAAAAATATTTGAGGTTTGATAATTTTCCTTATATAATATGATTAACTATAATGATGAACTTTGAAGAAATTCCAAGAGTAAATTCACGTTACTATGTGAAATCAGAGACTTTTTGGAGCATTTTCAATTACTTAAAAGCTGATTTCAGAACCTGAGGATCGGACTACCTTAAATTTCAATTTTAATTAGTCTCAAAGAATTGGAATGGATTATGCAAACAATATAGAGTAAAAATGATAATACTATGCGCAGATTAAATTAAATTTCTATACGAAAATTTACATATCTTTAGATCGTTTGTTATAGAGTTTATCAAAAAAAAAATCTTGCAATAAAAAGGCAAAATGCCTATTATCTATCCTTCGCTTTTCAGTAAACCGAAAGTGATAAAATAATTAAAAAGACTACGAACAATATGTAATGGTTTCAGAGAATGAGGCTTGTAACGATACGGTCGTTGTTTGTAAAGCTCATTATATAATAGAAGAACTTGGTTTTAACCCTTTGTTCCCTTTCATAGGAAGAAACTTTTTTCAAAATCACTTTTCAGTTTTTTAAATACTTTTAATATTCCAGTCATCAACAACTGCATCTTCAATGAAAAGGAAATTAAGAAATTTTCAAATATTTTGTGACCGGTCATTTGCAAAATTAATTTGTTGGAAATCATTCTGATTCTAAATACAAGTGCTCTGAAGTTGATATTTTAAAGATGCTGGAGCGTCTCATTGGAAAAAACTATGTAGTCTCTGAAGACCATGTCTTTCAATAGTCTGTTGGAATTTCGATAGACATCAATTGTGCTCCTTTATAAGCCAACCTGTTTTTAAATTCTCCTATGAAGCAGAAGTTATGTTTAAAAATTCTAAACGAGAAAGAAATACTCGTTGTAGCATTGAATTCAACATTTAGATACATCAAAACGGTTTGAATTTATTAAATGGCGATAGTTACTTTCATTCATATGCCGACTACATATATCCCAGTGAATTCGAAATAGAAGACATCACAGAGTATTCCACACCTGTTTTAAATATGAATATTTTACTAACTATATATTTATGACCAACTACATGTAACAAATATATTACATGACAAACAAGATGATCAGTTTAACCGTCGTAAACTTCCACAGCTAGCACTGCATACGGAATGTTTATATAACAAATGATTCGATGTGTCAACTCCGAATACAAAACAATTTAAAATCAAGGCAGGCTACTGATCAATAAGTTGATTGATGCAACATCCTTTTTTTAATCATCTTTAAAATCCGAATATTGTAAATTATACGGTTGTTCCTAAAATGACCTTGTTTGCAAATGACATTATTGGGTTGCATTTTGATTAACATGTTTTTGTTTAATGCTAATTTTGGCCCCGGATTACTCTGTTTAACTGTCAATATTGAGGGCTGAAGCATATATGACAGGTGGACAGGGGATGCTTTCTCCTCTTATTTTACCTTATATGATTTCCCCTTAACGTTTCCAGGGGTTCGTGCTTTGCCCTCATATTGTTTATAAGATTTATGACATTGATCTTAGTTTGTTATCTTCACCCTTTTCATTGTTAAAGTAAAAAGGAAAACCACTACAATGATTCTGTGGGTGTAAACAAAATTTATTGGTTCTTGATGACATGTTTCTTTTTTCTCTCAGCTGGACAAAAAGGCCAATAATGAAGTGTATCACTTTACATTGTCGCCGTCGTCTTATATTCAAGTGTTTATCCTACATTTGTATGATTAGGCAATAAATGAAGTGGTCTTACCATTTGTGGTATCAAAGGAGAAAGATGATGTTGTTGTTGTCATGACAACAGTTAGGATATCAAGAGGGTCGTTATCACTCCAGGTTACAGTAAACATCAGAGTGTTGGCGGCAGTACTATCCGGAAAAGTCACAGTTGAGTCCAGGTTAGACAGCGTGGGTGAATTGCCTATCAAAAATTTGGATGAAAATGTGTAAATGTATTATTTCCAAGTTTATTTTCAAAGAATTGTTTTAGTTTTCGTTATTTTGTACAGTTTTGATGAGTTGTTAACGATATTACTTTATAGAAATTTTCATTGAAATGTTTATAATCCCCTCTGACACGTCTAACTGTCATGTTTATTATATCACTGTCATATCTATTATATAAGATCATATTTATGATTATTAATACAGTATTGCTGTCATATCTATAGTACCATTGTCATGTAAAACAATCCATGTTTTATTCATGTTGTTATGTTTATGACATCGCTGTCTATTCGATAATATTAATATCATCTATATTATCAATTTCATGTTTTTGGTCAATGTTAAAAATATCTATCATACATTCTAATAATGAATACCAGATACGGCTACAGTCAGTTCATTATGAACCATTGTTGTAAATCATCATTGAGTTCTTCTTTTTGGGGATATATAATTTTGTTATGAGCATATATTCCTATTTCCGTGTTCTCCATATATGCATGAATGCTTTCTATAGATTAAATATTGTGCAACCAAAAGTCAACATGAGATAAAGGCTAGTTATGAGTTATAAACTTAAAAATGATACGTTAAACAACACTAGGATGAGATTTGATCAATTTCGGATTTGATAAATATTCATTGAGGATATCAAATACTTGCCAGGAACCAGTCGAACGTTGATGGCGTATTCCTTTCTGGTATCGGCAGTCTGCGATCCCCAGTTGTACGTGCTGCCCACGGTCTGGGCGCCTATAGTGGTGGAGTAGGTATAACCATCGGTACCGTCCCCCTCAGACTTGTGAGAGATCATGGGCTGTCCTGCCGTGAAACTGAAACAGTTAAGAGTGATTCAAAACATACAGTATAGTACACACTATACTGTATGTTTTGAATCACTCTTAACTGTTTCAGTTACACGTTTGAAAGAATTCTTAAATTTTTGCCATTAAACTTAAGCACGTACTACCATATGATCTCTAAAAATGATTATTGTAAATAACAGTGATAAACCTATTTGAATACCAATCCTTTGAAACTAAACTTTTTTTTGTCGTTTAACACAACAATAACCGTTATGATGTAAATATTCTAATTTCTGAGCTAGCTAAAAAGCTTACAACCCAATGTAGTCACCATCCCGTACAGAGATTCTCTCGTTTGTTGGAACAGTGTACAGAAATTCGTCGTTTTCGTCTCCAGCTGTAAACAGAAATAATTTTCAGGCCTTTCAGACACGTTTGAGAATGAATCTCGAAGTGTAGTGTGACCGTGTAAATTTGGAATTCGTCTGGAACTGCATCCGTTGTCTGCAGAACGAACGGGGTGAGGGAATGTTGGCGTAGAGGGTACAAGGTATAGGTAGCGGCGCGGTGTGGCCGTAAGGTAAAAACGAAGTATATAGGTGAAGTATATAGGTGTGCCGTATTCCCGAAGGTCCACCAATATGCAATTCCAAAGATAAAACAAATGATGAAAGATTCCGTATTTATTAGATGAGTCTCAACGATGGCAACAGTTTACATAAATCAACAAACAGACATATTAAAAAAAAATGATCGAGTCGGATTTGGCCGAAGTGGCCCCGGACTCGGGGTCCTGACGAGTCGGACGTGGCCGAGATTGGCCCTCGTATATTCCAGACTAAAGATTGAAATTATACATGACTATTTATAAGAATGTACATAATGAGTAAATAGATGACAGGTGTTGACATCAAGTGAAATGAGTGAAAGATTCACGGGTATGGAGTAATTAAGTATACATAATGACTCTTTGATGTTTGGAAATGAAAAACAGATAAATACACAATGTTGTTATAAGAGATTAGCAGTTCTTGAGACATAGCACTCTGTCTCTTTGTTATAACAGATCAAAAGTCCAAAAAGTGTCAATGGTCAGTTAAACAATTGGATTCGAAAAATATCGTAAGAGAAATGAAATATAACAAAAATTAGAATTTGAAAATTAAAGTCCAAAATAATGTTTTTTTTTCTGAAACAGTGAATTTTCCACTGTGATAGTAGTAAAAATTGTTTATAGAACAAGAAAATGTGCATTTTAGTCAACAACCCTTGTATTATACCCAACACTTTTAATCTTTCCTGCAATATATTAGTCGTGTAACATCGGCAATTAAAGTTTTTTGATTATTGAAAAATTGTTCACATCCTTATACACTGATTTCATTCAAAATACTTTCAAAATCACCATATCAATTCTCCTTATTTATTTGTGAGTAAAGTTAGATGATACTTGGTTGGTAATCATTCATAAAAATGCTAGATTGATTGATTGTATGTTGATTTACGTCCCATTCGAGAATTTTTCACTCATATGGAGACTTCACTATATACCGGTGAAGGGGTTCAAATTTTGACCTTTACTCGGCACTTACGGCCATTGAGCAGTGAGGGATCTTTATCGTGCCAACGCCTGCCGTGACCTCGGTTTTTAAGGTCTCATCCGGAAGACCCGCAACTTTCAATTCAAAGTGCCGAGCGCATGGCGAAGGAACCGTTGCTACCCATTTTTTTTTTATCGACTTAGGTCAGTCTCGGCCGAGATTCGAACTCATGACCTCCCGATCACGGAGCGAGTGCTCTACCGATTAAGCTACCGTGAACGGTTAAAAATGCTAGATCTTCCAATTTCAAGATTTATGATGAAGGTCATTGTTAACTACAATAATGAAGTTTGAAACAACCTAAACATAAAATTGAAGATAACACTGTATAGCTTGTTTGGTGGGATATACTCTTTGCCTATTTTGTGATTTATAAAGATCCCCCCCCCCCCCCAAAAAAAACCCACTAAATTTAAGTATTGTGACCACATACATATAGTTTTGCATGCAATACGAAGAAGGTTATTCACGTGTTGCTTGAGATGAGTTTTATGCTTCTTATTGGTGATATGTAAAACATATTTGTTAATTTGATAAAGCCATGGTACCTTTAAAATTCCTCCTAGAGTACATTTATTTAATCAAAGCTATAAAATAAATATGACAGTTAAATAACATGCATTCCAAATAAACGGATTAGAATTTACCAAAATTTTATACTCCAGAATTAATGGTATAGATTGTACAAGGATATCTCGTTTGATGCCTTCATTCCGCATGTTCTATGGTCAATATAGTGACCTTTTCAACAAATACAGTCTATCATCAGGTCAAGTAAGTGCTGACTGACGTTTTTCATACTAATTGTTAGACCATTATTTACATACTGAAATTTCTACGGATTTTTCCGTTTACTTGATCATGACAAAGAGCACACGGCGGGTGTGACCAGTCGACAGAGGATGCTTACTACTCTATGGCACCTGATCTCACGTCTGTTGTTTTTTGAGGTCTGCTCTGCTCCCGATTTGTATTGTTTAAATAGACTATGAGGTTGAATAGTGTTCATTATCTCCATATTTGATTGTAAATTCCCAAATTTGAAAAGTTTGTGACCCGCCGAAAAATGGCTATATGGTACTCTAAGTTGGCCATTTCGAACAAAGATTTAGCAAAATCAGAATTTAAGGTCAATTTCAGGTTTACTCTAAGGGTCTTATTAATCTTAATGGGGGTTATAAAAGATCTGAATAGTTCACTCATAACAGACTTAACAGCTGAATGAACCTGTTGACACAGACGGATGATCAGACTGAGAGATAGGTAGGATAGACAGATCGAAATCGTCAGTCAGTGGACCTGTTGTCTGTATCGTCCATTAAAATGCATTGTCTGTGGGAACGGCTTCACCGAATGACAAAGATGAAAATGAGACAAAGAACTTAGACACTTGAAAACGGACCAAAATTCAACAAAATATTATAAAAATAATGCGCTTTAAACGGTATTTTGGGAAAAAAGACAATTCCGACTCGCATCTTGTATCATGCATGTTCGTTTTCAAAATCTGACACTACTTGAGTAAATTTCAGTATTTGAAAAGAAAGCATTCTTTAAAATAAATGGTGCTAAAAAGCTTGTTTTGCGTCTATCAAAATCTACAAGATAAAGTACATACCGGCTACGGTGTAACTGTTCTCCCCAACCAGCTTAAACTGCCCTCCTCCCTCGGGGCGCCAAATCTGTAGCTTCACTGTTCCTGAGTTTGTTTTGACATAAAACTCCCAAGAGGACACCACTCCACAGCAATTGATCATGTATTCATTGTCAGTGGCATCAAGCAGGATTCCTAATCCTGAAATAGAGTTCATTGTGTTAGAAAGAAAATATATTCAGAGAATAGGTATGTTTGATATACAGCGAGAGGACATTAAATCTTATTACTCTGTCAATCTATAAGTCTGTCCGTCTGTCTGTCACAAAAATTTTAAGCTTGGCCATAACTTTTGAATGAGATAAGATAGGACTTTCATAATTCACATTATCTGCAGAACTGTAGCTGTTTGGTTGAGAAAATTCGGACAGATAAACCAGAGAGCTACCTTCGATTTAGGGCGACGCTAAGGCCAAAAGGCTTGCTACAGAAGAGACCGGGCTTTCATATTTATTTCACATGTGCAATACTTGTGGCAAGACCTTTCGGATTGTATAATGATATTTGACCTCATGACCTTGATCTTGAAATTTGATGGAGATTTAATATTTGTCGTAACCTTTATTAGATAAAAAATTTCCATCTTTTTTGTATGATGGACACACAAAACAAGCCTCACAAACAAGACAGTTATAAAATGCCAGAGATAAGTGCATATCAACCACAAAGGCACCGAAAGAGGGGAACCACAATTCTTTGAATTTGCAATTGCTCGTTTACGTAGATTATATCCAGTCATCTGATGGTATATGTCTTGCTTTAAAAATATGATTTAAATTGTGCCCACTAATCCAGTCTTTTCTCCATTACTTACATTTAAGTACTCCCATCTTTTTTTAATTGAATAATTTGATCTAGAGATTTTCCATAATCTTAACTTAAATATAAATAATATCCTTATATATATGGATCGACCTTATAAAAGTGTTATATTTGTATAATATATAATTTCATCTAAGACTAGAATAAACAGTTCACAAGCTTGGTTTAATCGTACTGTAAACATCCATTTGTTATAGATTGTATACTTACAGGAATCAGGTCTTACATACCATTTAGTTTTTAGCTGTGCGTTGTTAAAATATATTTCCATATTAAGATTATCTTCAGTCGTAATATCTATAAAATGATATACACCTATGAACGTAATTGAGTACACAGACCTATGTCATACAAAGCTTAATATGCCTGGGACACAGTGAGATACTTAATTTGTGTACCACCATAGCAGCTGTGGGAGACATGAAAAATACTTACCGGTCCCAAACGTGTCTATTCTATCGTCCTTTCCCTGTGGGTTACCTTCGCCTCTAGTTCGTCCAGTGGGACATTGACCTGAAAAAAGTCAGCGTTTACCTTTGTTGTAAAGGAAGCGGGAACTTAATTAATGGTATATCTGAATTTGTGTATTGTTAAGGTCAAGCCCTGTAGCATCACGATGCGATGAGAAATTATGTAATCAAGTAGAATAGGACTCAGATGCAGATCTTGTGACGAAAAAAGCTGACATCTTTTATCATTATAACCGCATTTTAAATACACATGATATCATAAAATTGGTTACCTAAAGAAGCAACTATAGACACGCATGCATATTGTCTATTGCACATTGTTCTGTCATCACTGTTGACCTTCCACTATGATTTCAAGAAAAAATGTTTCAACCATTGAAAGACTACTCTTGAACTCTTTTTGAACCTCATCATGTACATGTACCATTTACATGGTTTTGAGAGAATAAACTGAACTAAGCTCTCAATATGTTTAAAGTAAAAAATTAGTCACTATTAAAACAAACACTTATGTAAACAATTTTTAAAGAATCTAGCCCTAGGATTAACCCTTTCTACGCACAACGTTTTATTAAGCTGTGCCTTTTGTGTAGAGTTAGCTATATTACCTATAAAGTTCTTTTTCGACTTTAAACCATTATTTATTTATTTGAAATTAATATTAACACCTACACGTTTTCCTCAAGCGTTTTTTCTCTATTCATATATATGTATTTCAAGAATACGTTTGACCTAATAGCAGACCACGGGCGAGTACATTTATTTTTTTAAATTCAAATTTTTCTTTCTTAACCTATGTTCACACAACCTGTGATATTTGTTGCTTTGCAATGGAACAGATAATTGATATATAACTCGTTTTATAGTCTTTTAAATATGTATGAAATAACTGGTTTTAAACCCATTGCTTTTACTTAACTAAGAGAGAGAGAGAGAGAGAGAGAGAGAGATAATCCTAGTTGTTAAACCTTAACGACATTATATACTTCAGATTAAAATGTAAGCTTTTTAAATTTTGGAATTATCTTCTCGAAAGATGCTTTAAATGTGTTAAAGGATTTTTTTTTTAAAGGTTCACTTCTATATAAATAGGGATCTGACCTATAGGGCCGGGCTTGGTTTTTTTCTTTACAAAGAGCTTGTCGATTTCCGTTCCGATTAATGACATTAGGCTGAATACATGTAACAATTTGTTTTTCATAAATCTTTATTTCAGTGAGTAGAGGTAGGAGGAACACTTTCATTGATATTCTGCGTTTGTTATCTCCAAATGTAATAATTGATATTTTTCTTTACTTCTCATTGTACATAATGGTAATGTCTACTGTCTCTGGAATTCTATTTTTTTATGTCTAGGCTATTTATTTTACAAAACATTTCCTTTGGATATAATAAAGGCGTACCATTAATGTGTGCAAATCATATAGGCCTAAATGAAATCCAAGGGAGTACAGTTACTGATATATGTAGCCCTACTGTTTCAAAACTTAAGATCTTAGAACATTGACTGAAAACAAAAGTACATGTATGTTATTCTAAATATTATTAAGCTCAAATAATTCAAGCAATAGGTAACATACTACATGTAACCCAGACAAGCACTAGTAGCACAGACAGAATAAAAGCAATGTGATTAAATTCTAAGGAATATATACAATTGAAATTCATCGCAGCTCAATGCTGCCGAGAATATCTGTATCGAGTAACACAGAATGAGTTATAAATTCTTGTCCTCGGAGAAAGTGTGCTTATACCGAGATTTGTTCCGCCTGACTGACAACTGTATATGGGATTGTTACGATTTGATCTCACTCTAGTGTTTCTTATATCAAGAATGGGAATGCATAAAGGATAGATAATTAAAGGAAAATACACAAGCCTATAAAAAATTTAAAATAGTCTTTGAAAAGGCGAAAATTTAAAACTATAAAAGTGTGACACCAGGTGGATTCGAACCCCCTACTTTAAAAAGAAGGTATCCACGATATGAAAGTCAGCGCATATATCAAATGAGCTATTCTGACTATAAATTTGAACGGTATAAATTTGAAGCAGATTGTCAAAATCAAGTTTACTTATTTTTTGTAGGTTTTTTGTGAATTTCGACCCTAGGGCAGGGGTGCCCCTAAAAAAATCCTATCTTAAATTATTCCTTACATCCCAACCTATCAAAATATCACAATTTTATTTAGGGGCAGGCCTGCCCTGAAGGACTTCTAGGCCAAAATTCATGCAAAAATCAACTCTTTAACGGACAAATTGGTGTTTCGGCCAACTTTGGAGGTTTATTGTATAGTTGTAAATAATAAATTTTTGTTGTAAAATACAAATTTGGAAAATTTAGACATATATACGGTAGAAAACAACAAATAAAGATTGATTTTTAAATGTCACTTTTTCCGGGAAATTGTTCTCTCCTATAGGTCAATTCTTTTGTAATAGTGAATACATCATTTCCCTGTCCTAAATTTACCCAAACACATATAGCAGCAAATTATTTTCATTTTAAATCATCCGAAATCTAAATGAGGCTTTGTAATTGTACAATTATATTTCTAAAAGTATTACTGTTTTAAAAGATAAAAATCTTATTTAGTTAAACTTACAATACTTGTACTTTATTTTTCCTTTTTTAAATGTTTTATGCTGAACAACAGGATAAACTTCTGTTACGTTCAGATTGGCCACTGACACTTAAAGAATTAGAATTGAAAATGGCCATTTCCTGAAAAGTGTCTTGATTGTTTAAATTATTTAAGAGTGATACGTGTACGCTTTATATAAAAGTCTTCAACTATAATTTGTTTTAAGGGGACATATCCCCTTACAATGTTTATGTAAACATAAAAAAATGGTTGAAGTATTGATCTAAAATCAATAAAGGAACATTTAACATCAACATTGCGGTTGAGTGGTTACAATACTGGATTGTCCATAAATGTTTTAATTATGCAAACCAATAGCATATGAATTTTTATTGATTTAATAATTTATTATTATTTTTGTATCGCCACAATGCCTGCTCTAACAGGTTTTAATGATGAGACGATTAAGTGGGGGAGATATAGAGGAAAAGGAAAGACAAGAAAATATTTTGAGTAATGCTGCATGTAACAGAAAAGTCTAGTATTCGCACGACATTTGATAGCATAATTGTTTGTTTTCGCTAAGTATAAAATTTTTAAGAAAAAAAATTAAATGTTGTTATAGGCATCTTTTCTTAGGTCATTAAAATTCAACAGCCGGAGAATTTCACATATGGAACATCACCACCTTTTTCGAAACACCCTCTGTGTCTTTTAAAGAACTAATGGTCAAGTAAAAAGCTATCTTTCAGAGAGAAAGAAAGAAAAGTGGTGAAAATTATGGCCAAAGACTTGAGATGTTAAATAAAAAATGTTGATAAAAATAAAAATGTTGATATTCTTAAAGTGTAGGAAAATTCTGAAAATTGACTTAAATACGAATTGTTAGTATTGCGAAAATACTTCATATCTAACTTGTCCGAACAAATATCTAATTTGTTCGAACGAATATATTTTTTATCTGGCCCTCCAGCGACGCTGTAAGAAATAAAGCAAAAATAAATCTTTTTAAAAATTAACATGGAATTCAAATTTCAAACAGTATTTTTCCGAAGATATGTGAAGTGTTTAATACTTTAACGTACGATACTCAGAAAGAAAAAAGAATGACTTATCAATACCCTTTCTGACAGATACATGTAGGTTGATGGTGAAAATTTAATTTCGTTAGAAATTACGGAATTAAAAAAAAGTGATTCAGTGCATGTATTGTTCAAAAACAAATATGGAAATTGAAAAGAGAAGAAAACAATTGGATATCTCAGAAATTCAGAATTGAAATTAAAAAATAATTC